TTCCACGTCAGCCTACTTCGCCCATACATCCCGACCACAAGTCAACTGCCGCGTCACCGGCCACAATCAATGACTCGCCCTGCATCAGAGCCGATCATCGAGCCCGACAAAATTCTGAGCCATCGGATCCGCCACCCCACGGGAATCAGGAGGATTTAATCGCTCGTTCGTTGGAAAGACCGCACGCCAACTGAAGATAGCTGGGTGCCCCTGAGCAACATCGAAAATCACCCTGCCCTGCAAGTGTACCTGAGGAGCCGGGGATTCCGCGATATACACACACTCACGTAGCGGAGGGGGCTTCTTGAGGGGGGGGGGGGGGGGTAGTGTAAGGAATTTTCTCGGCATTCCTTACGGAGCCGACTACATCGCGTACGGCAACAGCCGATTGTTCGCCCGTTACTGCTAACGGAACTTCGCCGACTTCGCGCGCACTGTTTTACCAAACCTCGCACTGCTGGCATGGCCGTATCGGCCTACGCTTCGGGACTAGCCCGAGCCTCGCTCCAGCGTAGCACTAGCAAGCTCGCACGCACCACGTTACCGTTTTGCATGTTTCGCGTATAAATGTTCGCTCATGCCTTCGCTCACATTTTGTACTCGTTTGACACCTTAGTGCAATTCTCGCTACCTAGATTCATTGCACCCGTAACACTTCATAACAGTTACTTCAGGCACTTCTGCTTAATTCGCCAACTAGCCAGTTTCACCCAACGGAACATTTGGGCCGACCATGGTTTTTCATTGGTTGGCGCCGTTGCCCGCCTGCCCGTAGAATGCGCTTGACCCATTTTTGCAGCAGATCAGTGGCGATCCGCGGCCCTCACTCAATCTTTTGTGCCCAACGTGCTCACTCCGCAGCGACACCGACGTTCCCGCTTGCAGACGAACCGAACCGCGATGGCGCCAATTCTCGCAGGCGAAAATTCGCCAGTCCGCGACACCCGCTCGGCAAATTCTTTGGACCTTCTCTCGCAACCCCAGCTGCCGCAGGAACCCATCCCGGATTCCGACATTCTTCATCGATACAAATTTGGAGCTGTCAACCCCTCAAGCTCACCATTCACCTCTCGTCCTTCCTCGCTTCTCACTACCAAAGCACACAGCTTGATAGCTCTTGTGCCGCTCCAGCTCGTTTTCTCTTCTCTCTCCCGGTCCGTTCGGATTCATTCAGACCTCCAGTCAAATTCGCAAGATCTGTCAGCGTTGGCAATCAGTGAATCCTTCGTCCCGGAACCATGGCCGTTTCTCGATCCACTCTGCTGCTCGTTGCTCTCGTGGGCTTGGCCGTTGTCTGCTCGGCTCAATCACCCGCACCCAAAACAACAACTTCGCCCAAGACAACTCCTGGGAAGAGCGCGGGGGCGCCTCCCGCACCGACCGGGCCGCTGACGCCATTCGACGAGGCCATTCAGAAGCTCAACAAATCCGGATTCACCAGCTTCGTTTCCCTCGTCAACGCATACGGTACGAACCCCGGAACACCTCGACGGATCGCGACGAGCTACGAGCTTCTTGGCTAAATCAGAGACTTTAGACTACGTTCTTTCTTATTTATTCTTGATCCTTGGCGTCTCATTGCGTCACACAATACCTCCAGACAAAGTTCATTCTCCCTTCCTCGTCGCTCGAATCGCCCTCGCCCCGTCTTTATCCCACCCGCGCGTCTCTTACTCCTCGCAGGCAAGATGAAGGAGGTCAAAGCGGCTCTCTCGAAGCCTCTCACCATGCTGGTTCCGTCGAATGCGGCGATCGGCAAGCTCAAGATCACCAGTTACAAGTCGACCGAGCTCATGGTGATCGTCGGATTCTCCGCCTTCAAGAAGGTGATTCCCGCCGATGCGCTCAAGACCCTGCCCGTGGGCAGCAACATCACGACTCTCGCGAGCACCAAGGCGGGGAAGCCAATGACGCTGCAGAAGCAGGCGAACAACAAGAAGGGGCAGGTGGTGCTGCAGGGAAAGAAGGGCAGCACCATGGCCATCACCAAGCTCAACTTCTACCTCAAGCCTGGCATGCTCGTCGTTCACACCACGGACGCCGTCGCCTTCCCCACCACGCTCCAGGGCAAGGTCCTGTAAAAAGGCAACTGACGGAAAAGCAGCAACAGTGGCGCACCAACAAGGAAGTTAGCTAATAAATGAGGCATGCGAATCGGTAACGACTTAGTTGCTCATTCAGAGTTAGCTGTTAGGATAGGACTACGCATTGAGATTACTGCGTCCTGTCCATGTGATTTATACGGTTCGTGAATCAGCGCAAATTACCAAATGTCTTTCCGCATGTGCCAATCAAAAGCGCACAACGAACTGGGGGACTTAGCGGGGATGACAGCGGGAGTACTGTTTGCTACGAGTGAGAACTCTTGTAGACATTAGTCATGATCTACACCCTCCCCATGAGGTGATCGCAAACGTCCTTCCTATCTTTCAGTGATATATTTTCCACTATCTTTGCTCGCCATGATTTCTTCTGCACCTACTGAATGTGACGAACGCTTAGTGCAAAATTTATGCGCTTAGTGCAAAATTTATGATAATGTTTCAAGTCATGAGAAATCCGTGTTCAAAGTCACATGAAACTCGTTAGACTGCTTGTTAGGCTGGAGCATTACAAGCCAAGCATTACAGACTCGTTTGTTTCAGACTCATATGATCGACAAATAAATGCACATATTCGCCATTCGCTAGTTTGACCAAGATGAGCTATCAATTATTAGCGCCACCAAGAGCTTGAAACACGTAGCTTTCTGCACCCTACAAGAGTCTCAGAAATTCTTATCCGACTATCAGATTTCTGGCTCCCTAATATCATGGTCGCGTCACTTCATTCCAGCGGGAAACACAATTGCGTCCGTCGTGTGCACGGCCAGCTTTCCCACTTTTAGGTAAAAGTCGCCCTTAGTGATCATCAGCTTGCTCCCGCGCTTGCCCTGCATCGCCACCCAACGCGCCTTGGGCGGGGAGAGCTTCGTGAGCATCAGCGTCTTCTTGGACTTGAGGTCCGTGGAGAGCGTCGCGAGCGTCGCATTCTTCGCGAGGCTTCGCAGCTTCTGGAAGGGCATGACGCCTTTGATGGCGTTGAACATGACGAGCGTGGAGAGCTGCGCTGTAGAGTAGCTCGTTATCTTGACCTTGGCGATGGCCGCGTTGCTGGGGACGAGCATGGTGAGCGGCTTGGAAAGAGCCGCCTTGACCTGCTTCATCTTGCCTGCGATGGGGACGGGAGGGACGGAAAGGAACGGAGCAGGTGAGAAGATTCATATAAGTCAGAGAGAAATGCGGCTAAATAAGTTGCACAGCGCAGAAAGCGGTGAAACCAATCAATGAAGCAAAACAGGAGTGAGAACGGGAGAGAAGCTTGGAGGTTGAATGCATCACGCGAAAGCTGGTGCGGGACGAAAGTAGCAGGGGCACACCATAAGCGCTGACGAGGGAGACGAAGCTGGTGTAACCCGAGTTGTTCAGCTTCTGAACGGCCTCGTCAAACGGCGAGAGAGGCATGGGCGATAGAGCACAGGCGAAAGTCGCACATCCAGCGAGAACGACGAAGATCAGGGTTGAGCGGGCGATAGGAGTTGCCATGGTGCAGAAAGTAAGCGCATTGTCAGTAACAGAATGTGGGAATGCGTCGCAGCTGACAACACTTCCAGTTCGGATTGGCGATGAGAATGGATCTGACGTCTGGCGAATTTATGCTTGGGAGTTGGTGAGGTCGTCAACCTGCCAAACCTTTCCAGTCCCACGAACCTAATGCTGCGACGCGTGCGACTGCGCAGCCGACAAAATTCGAGCGTTACTGTACCATCCTTGCAGTTTGAGCCGACACAAGCAGTGTCTGAACGACGTCGTTCACACTTTCGGCTGCTCCGACCAGAGGTCGGCGACATTGTAACGACTGTTTCGAAGTCGCTCATCGCAGATGGTTTGGTCGCACCTGCGTCGGCTGTCCCGTAGAATAACAACACCGCTAAAACGAGGGCAGAATGCACAAAACAAATGAGTTGAATATATACTTCATATGCGGAGAGTGTGGACAAACACTGTCTATCAAGTGAACAGGGTTGTGGTCATGAAGGCAAGTGTTTTACCCGTCAGCCCCTGGATAGAAGCGCCCCTGGGGGTGTAAAAAAGGACTGTTTTTTAGGGGTTGCGCTTATATTTGAGGATTTTTATAAGCGCCGGGGCTTATATAATGACATATATGAAATATAGTTTTTTTACACTAAAGTGTTCATCTCGTCCTTGCGAGTTGAATCGAATCGATATTGTAGAGGACATCGAATGTGAATTTCGCGTAAATCGGCAGTGGCTGATTCCCTCCCAACACACACAGTCAGAATGAGTCAGATTGACCCCATGACAGCTCATTCTGACTGGACGTGAAGGCATTTAGTCACGCGAAGGGGAACGGTTTCGAAATTCTGAATGTGGGGATGCAATATTGTGTTTCGTTACAGCGGTTCTAGTAAAAATATAAAAAAAATTACAGAGGGTGGCGCTTATAATCCGTAAGCCTTCAAGGGTGCTCTTATAATCGAGGACAGGATATAAGCGCCCTCATCCTTTTATAAGCGCCGGCGCTTATCCGAGGCCTGCGCTTCTATCCGGGGGCTTACGGTATTAGTCAAGTGTGGTACGAGCAGGATGATCGCATGTCAGTGCCATATTACGCGCAGCAGTCCATGTACGAATCCTACTATAGTCAGCTCCGTTTGCACATGCAATCAGGCACAGGGTACATGATCGCATCCTTGCCCTTTTTATGGGTGCGCAGCTGTGGTTCTCCGATCGAGTCATGGTGAATCTCCACCATTGCTTTCTCAAACTCCTCTTCTGTCAACGAGCGTCCGTTCACCCCGCCTGATTGCTCATCCAGCAATAATTTTACGATTTTCCGCTTATTGGGCATGATCGTCTTTCTGTGGCCAAAATAGGCACGATGTCCCTGAAATCATTGAAGGAAGATAAGATGGGAGCAGCAAGAGCAGCACACCGAATTTACGAGGTGGTCATGTGGTCAAAGCATGGTAACTGGGGGGATAGAAGTGAGCTTGCGCAAGCAATGAAACACATGCGTCAGTCCCTCGCATACTTCCCCAAGGTTCGGCGTGCGTTTAGGCTCGTTCGGCATACCCCGACATGCTCCATAACCATAACAAAAGTAGACGGAACTCTCTGCACTATACCTGAATCATATGTGCCACGTTCCCCCCGTGCGACGGCATGAACACATGGCTGCTCGCACAAATAATGAATTTCAGCGCTGCCAGTACGTTCGCCTCAAATCACACAACAATTCACACACCATACCTGAATGACATGGGCCATGTTCCCCCCGTGCGACGGCATGAACACATGGCTGCTCGCACAAATAATGAATTTCAGCGCTGCCAGCACGTTCGCCTCAAATCACACAACAATTCACACACCATACCTGAATGACATGGGCCATGTTCCCCCCGTGCGACGGCATGAACACATGGCTGCTCTCGCACAAATAATGAATTTCAGCGCTGCCAGCACGTTTGCCTCAAATCACACAACAATTCACACACCATACCTGAATGACATGGGCCATGTTCCCCCCGTGCGACGGCATGAACACATTGCTGCCCGCACAGAGGATGAAGTCCAGAGCAGCCAGCATGTTGGCCTGCCGTGCAAACACCTCCAGCTCCCCCGGCAGCGCGAGGCTCTCCTTGCTGTGCACCACAGAGAAGGACATCCAGAGGGGTGCCAATGCCAGCTGTGCGCCTCCCATTGGCTCCGCCCCCGCCCAGAACACCCGCGTGCGATTGGTTGCTCCGAACGACTTGAGAAGACTGGTGTGAGAAGGGAGAGGAGAGGAGGGGAGTGAAGTGGGGAGAAGTGAAGAAGGGAGAGGAGAGGAGGGGAGTGAAATGGGGAGAAGTGAAGTTGGGGGGAGTGGGCATGGAAGCGTATGAGAGAGGGGAGGGAGGAGAGAAGGTTGGGGTGGGGAAGTCTGGGGAGAAGCACCACACCACATCGCAACTCACCACAGAACACTGCAACTCACTGCACCACACAGTCCGCACCAAACCTCACCATACCTCACCGCGACTCACCGCGCCGCACCTCACCGCAACACACCTCAACTACCGCACCGCACCACACCACAACTCACCGCACGATGACGTCAGCAGTCAAAGGGCAAAGCCCTGCTGCAAATCTCTCCTCAGCGGTCAGATTCAGCCGCCCTGTCAGCAGGTCTGGCCGACCCACCCTCTCCCGATCCACCGCAGCATCTAGCTCCGGCCCGAGCCTCGGGTAGCATCCGGTCCGGATCCACACATCTGGCTCCAGCCGTAGATGCAGCGCAATGAACGGCCCAGATGCAGCCATCCGGGACACGAGCTTCTGACCGAGGGCCAGGATTGGCGGGATGAACCGCAGGGCGTGAAATTCGACCTTGCAGCGGAGCTTCTGGAGTTCCCGAGGGAGGTCGGGCGTTATGGCCTGATCGAGGCCTCTTATAAGGAGTACGTGCTGCCGGCGAAGCTGGTGGGTAGAAAGGGTTAGGAGGTGTTGGTAAAGATATTTTGAGGAACTAGTTTGGACGGGAGTAACGGTGGGTGTAATGGGGTGGAAGTGGTGCGTGGAAGCCTAAATAGAGTGGTGCAATTAACCATGAAAGTGTGTGTAGCGTAGCGACACTCACAGGTGGAAGGAGGTGTGAAATGATCCATTCCGGTGTGGAGCCAGTGGGAGGAAGCTTCTCGTCAGGTGCGGCCCGCAGGTAGTGGGGCGGCAGGGTTGTTACCACCCTCACCTCGCTCCGTAACACCCGCTGGAAGTGAGGCACGTCAAAGATCTCTGAGAACTCACTGTTGGGACGTGGGCAGGCGAGGGAAAGGGATAATAGGGGAGAGCAGCGAAACAGAACAGAGGGTGGTTACCTACCACCCTAACTTCACTCCATAATACCTGCTGAGAGTGAGGCACGGCAAATTTATAGGCAAACGCATTGTACAAATGAGCAAACTTTGGTATAGGGGAACGTGATTGGATTGGAATGCAGAAGGGGTAAGGGAAAGAAGCAGCTGGTTACAACCCTTGCCTTGTTGCGAAACATTCAATAAGAGTGAGCAAAGTTGCTCTGAATGTAAAAAGGAACGGCTGGAAAAAACATATTCACTATATATCGCTCTGCTTGAGTCCTTTTTACCGTCACCACTTCCCAACCCCCCCCACATCGCTTCCTGCCCCCACACCCCTTCCCCCCTCTCTCACCTCCTGTCGTGCCAGATGTTGTTTTCTTGCAGCACCGGAACCACCAGCACGGCCCTGAGAATGCGAGCAATGACCACCGCGTTCCCTATCTGCAGCCGCATCTGGTTAAGTCCCCCTGTCACCACGGCCATCAGATACCGCCCTCGGTTCAAAGCCTCTATGGAGTGGTTCCGGTAGGTGCGGGAGTGGCGCAGACACGGCCTCAGACCCAGGGACGGAGGCTGGGAGAGCAGGTGTATGGGTTGGAGGGAGATGCGGAGGGGAGAAGGGAAGTTGCGGGGTTTAGGAGACAGCAAGAGTGGAAGTGGATTCAGAGCAAGAGGGAAATTGGCATCAATCCCCTCACCTGTTCCCACAGCCGTCTCTCCTTCTCACTCCACACTCCCCCACTCCCCTCCTCCAGAGGCGGCAACCCATCCTCCTCCAAGACTCTCCTCTCCTCCTTCTCCTCCTCACTCTCCCCCTCCAAATCCTCCTCTCTCACACTCTCCAAACCCACCTCCTCTCCCCCTCCACCAAACCCCCCCTTCCCCCCATAGTCATCCGCTCCCCAGACCTCCCCCCCAGGGCCGTGAAAACTACCACCACTGCTTATCCGTTCAGCGTATTCACCCCCCTCCCCCTCTCCTCCCCCTCCTCCTGTCCCCTCTCCTCTCACTCTATGCCACGCCTCCTCCTCATGCTGCTTCCGCAGCTTCTCGTTTGGCAATCGCCGCTTCTTCTTCCCTCTCCCTCTCCCTTTCTTCCCCCTTTTCTTCCCCACATAACCCCCCCCTTCCGACTCCACTTCGTGCTCTCCTTCTCCCCATTCCCGTAGCTCTCCGCCTCCCCCCTTCTCTCTCCGTCTTCTTGCCACGTCGATCCATTTTTCTCCTATCCTACTCTCTCCTTCGTCTCCTTCCTCCTCATACTCATCGTCCTCTGAGCCTGATCGCGACTTAAATTCGCCATCCACCCAGTCATACACTCGATCCTCTTCCTCAGGTTCGGCCTTGGCTTTCCCGCCCAAGTCTGAGGAGGAGGTTCGGAGGCCAGGAAAGGTGTCCTTATCTTCCAAACCTCGTCTGAAATTAGGTCTGGTGGGGCGGCATGACAAGGCACGGATTGACAAGACACGGCATGGAATGGAATGAAATGGCATGACATAGTATGAGATGGCACAGGAGTAAGTGGAAAGGAATCATCGCCTGGTGTAGAGGAATGGAATGGCAAGAGAAGAAAAAGAATTGCATGGCATTGCATGATGTGGAAACGAAATGACATGGAAAGGAACATAATGGAATGACACGGAACGTTGGGTACACGCTTTTGAGAAGGACAAAAGTTAGATTTGACCTTGAGATGATGCTAAAGACAAAGGCGTCGAGCAAGACGAGCAGAGCTGTTCTTGACCTGGTGATTTCTGAGTTGACTCGAACGGTACCGCGAAGGACAACAGGCTAAAACGAGCAGAGCTGAACCTGATATGATCCTGACCTTGGAATGATGTTAAAGGCAAAGGCGCAGAGGAGCACGAGCAGCAGCACGCGCTCGAGAGTGCAGTATGAGGCGAAGAACGACCGCCTGTCCGCGAAGTGCCTGCGAAGGAGTGTAACCATGTTGATGAATGATACAATGACAACAAGGTTGATGTATGTAACAATGTTGTCTGACTGACAAGATGCGAATAGTAATGACGTGCGTAACACGTGGGTTTTGCTAGTCTTAAACACGAACAATAATGTGGTTGTCGAGCACGCGAGACCCGCATCCGCATATTTCTAAAAGACGCACCTTCGGTACGTTTTGGATCGCATCGAATAAACGGCAATGAAGAACTACCTGAAATATCATGCAAGTTCATGACTGACGATAAATAAATTGATGCACCGTGACGAATCTTCACTCACCGGCTATGACGCCTACCACCCTTGGACCGCATGGGATGAACTACAGTAGCAGAGCGAAACTAGTTAACGAAGTATGAGAAGGCAAGGACGACTGTAACCCCTTAAGCACGGTAGTGTGCCGTCTCGTATGGTTTAAGGCGCATTGGCGGCCGCTCACTAAGCCAGCTAAAGAAACTCCAAAAATACTCCTGGCTAGCAGTTAATTCAACTAACGAATGTATTTGACTCTGAACAGCTTGAATGCACGTTGTCAAAAGTTAAGTTAACTACTACAAACTATCAGCAACGGGACGGCAACATATCTTATTTGCAACTATTATCGCGCACACGGGACCCTCCTACACACAACACTCTACGCGTTTGACAAGTGATGGAATAAGCTCACGACCGCTACTCACAAAGGTCCCACATGGGTAAGGCGACACCCTCACACTACAATAGCGTGAAATACTGAGATACTGAAGCTGCCATAATAGCGTCAGGATACTATTGGAAGCTAAGTGATACAAGGTACAGTTTTCAGGCACAAGCTGTCATTCCATGCAAGCCGTGAAGCAACCAGGCTGAAGCGTCCACGCAATTGGAAGCCAGCAATGGACTTCCACTTCGGTGAGTGGTTGAACCCGAAGGAAAACAAATTCAGTCGAAGCTTGAGTTGAAAGCGCAGATCGCGTTTGCGCGGGAATCTGAAAGTGAGGGGCTACCAGACCGTTGGGCCTTCCTCGACAATGTCAGAGATCCGCGCGATAGCGAGAGGCGGTAAAACATTTGATGAGGACTAAAAACAAGCAGAGCGGAAATCTATAGAAACGAAAAGTCAACTCAATTCTACAAAGAATTTCAAGCTAGTGTTAAGAGAAGATAACGCCCTCACCCTCCACCACTTCGCCTACAAGCACGGCTGATGGGTTGCTCTCTATAATGCGCTTAGAAGCCTCCGCATCCACTATAAGCACCATGCCAATCCCAAGGTTGAAAACACGGCGCATCTCATCTTCAGCAATATTGCCAGCCTGCAGGAAAGCAGCAAAAGAACGAAGTAGCACACAATACTGACAGATTAACAGGATAATAAATATTTCTGTACAAAACTTACTACAAAAGAGATCAGAACTCTCATTCTGCAAAATATATACAAGGAGACTACAGCGAAGCAGAGGATACAACACAGAGCAAAGCAACACTTCACCTTTCTGAGCCACTTGAAAATTGGAGGCTCTTCCCACGCAGTCATATCCGCTTTTGCAGCCAACCCTTCAGGGAAGATTCTGGGAATGTTCTCAGTGAAGCCTCCCCCAGTAATGTGCGCGATGCCATGCACACCTCCCCCCTTTATAATGTCCAACACCTGCCGCACGTATATCACGGTAGGCTCTAGCAGGGCGCCCCCTATAGTCACTCCCGCAGGGGCACCTGGGAGGGGGTCTGAGAGGGAAGCGCCACTGGCGTCCACCACTCTGGAAGGGGCGAACAGGTAAGGGCGGAGGGGAGAGAGGAGAGAGAGTGCATTGAATGACTCTGGGGGAAAACAGAGGGCGCTTGGGAGGAGGTTTGATCTGAGAGTGCTTTTGAGTCGACTCAGAAGCGAACAAAATCACTCTGGGGGAGAACAGGGGCGCTTGGGAGAAGGGGGTTTGATCTGAGAGTGCTTTTGAATCGACTCAAAAGCGAACAAAATCACTCTGGGGGAGGACAGGGGCGCTTGGGAGAAGGGGGTTTGATCTGAGAGTGCTTTTGAGTCGACTCAAAAACGAACAAAATCACTCTGGGGGAGAACAGGGGCGCTTGGGAGAAGGGGGTTTGATCTGAGAGTGCTTTTGAGTCGACTCAAAAGCGAACAAAATCACTCTGGGGGAGAACAGGGGCGCTTGGGAGAAGGGGGTTTGATCTGAGAGTGCGTTTGAGTCGACTCAAAAGCGAACAAAATCACTCTGGGAGAGAACAGGGGCGCTTGGGAGAAGGGGGTTTGATCTGAGAGTGCTTTTGAGTCGACTCAAAAGCGAACAAAATCACTCTGGGGGAGAACAGGGGCGCTTGGGAGAAGGGTGTTTGAGAGTGAAGCGCCACTCCCGACCACCACTCTGGTCTGACTTTCGAGACGTCTCAAAACTCTGGTCCGGAGGTGGGGGTGTAGGGAAAAACCATTTGAGCCTTGAGACGTCCTTTGAGTCGCCTTGCATCACGTTTACGAGTCTACTCATCAACCATACATACAACTACATGCCTTTCTCTCCCCACCTCTGTACCACACAACCACACAACCAGACAAGCACAAAACTGCAACAACCACACAACCACACGACATAACCTTCGTCCCACCTGCGTGCGAGGGAAAATCCGTTAGAGTGAAGGCCCGAGGACGGCAAACCGATGATCTTATCGCCCTTCCTTATACCGGATCCGTCTATAAGCTCTGCTTTCTTCACTGCTCCCACTGCAAACCCGCTCAGATCGTACTCCTTGTCAGCATAAAATCCGGGCATTTCTGCCGTCTGATTGGTGGAAAAAACAGGGGAGGAAATGGATAGAAGATTCAGTGAATCTTCACAGGCCCCACTGCAAACCCGCTCAGATCGTACTCCTTGTCAGCATAGAACCCAGGCATTTCCGCCGTCTGATTGGTTGAAGAAAAGGAGGAGAAGTGGGAAGAAGTGGAAGGAAGATCCTGGGAGGATTCTGAAAAGATTCTGAAAAACATCTGGAAAGTTTATGGGAATCCTACTGCCGGGGCACTTGGCAGTTGGATTGAGCAGCTGGCTGCAGAATCCAATCAGCCAGTAGCACTTGCCAGTGCCGCAACACAAACACACACCTCACACACTCTCCCCCCTAACATCCCCCCCTTGCCAAGCAGACAAGGGGGTACCCTCAAGGGGCAGTAGCACTTGTTGACTTTTGAGTTGACTCAAAAGAGTCGACTTTTGACTTTTGAGTCGACTCAAAAGTCAACTCACACACTCACCCCCCTAACATCCCCCCCTTGCCAAGCAGACAAGGGGGTGCCCTCAAGGGGCAGTAGCACTTGCCACGATATTATCACTCCTCCCTCCCTCCCTCCCACCCTCACCCCCCACACCCGGCCCCCTCTTCTGCATCTCCCACGCACCTCTCCCCACCCCCCCTTGCCCTCTCCCACCTGGCCCAACCGCACCTCTCCCACTGGCAACAGCGCCAGCAGTGCCACCACGCCCACCCTCACACCCCACACCCGCCCCCCTCTTCTGCATCTCCCACGCACCTCCCCTCCCAGCAGCACACAGTCTGACTGTTTGCAGCCGTCCACGATGCCTTTGATGACCTGATGGTGGGGGCGATGGGGGCGATGGGGGTGATGGGGGCGATGGGGGTGATGGGGGCGATGGGGGTGATGGCAAGGAGTGGAGAGTGGTAAGCACATGTGCACGTAGCAGCAGCAGCACACAGTCTCACTGCTTGCATTCGTCCACGATTCCCTTGATGACCTGATGTGGGTGATGGGGGTGGCGGAGATGGCAAGGATAGGAGGGAGGATAGCACATGTGCACTGCATATTCACACAAGTGCATCAGCATGACCAGCAGCAGCAGAAGCAACACAGTCAGACTGCTTGCACCCATGCACGATTCCCTTGATAACCTGATGTGGTGGTGGGGGTGGCAAGGAGATGACAGAAAGGAGAGAAGGGAGGTTACCACATGTGTACTGCATACACACACAGGTGCACCATCAGCAGCAGCACACAGTCTCACCTGTGTGCATACACACACAGTCTCACCTGTGTGCATACACACACAGTCTCACCTGTGTGCATACACACACAGTCTCACCTGTGTGCATACACACACAGTCTCACCTGTGTGCATACACACACAGTCTCACCTGTGTGCATACACACACAGTCTCACCTGTGTGCATACACACACAGTCTCACTGCTTGCACCCATGCACGATTCCCTTGATAACCTGTTGACTTTTGAGTCGACTCAAAAGGCAACACAGTCAGACTGCTTGCACCCATGCACGATTCCCTTGATGACCTGATGGGGGTGGTGGGGGGGGAATTGGTGGTGGGGTTGGGAAGATAAAGTTGATCGTGGAATGGAAAGGTTATGACATGTGTACTGAACATTCATACAAGTGCACCATCAGCAGCAGCCGCGCACAGTCTCACTGCTTGCACCCGTCCACAATACCCTTGATGACCTGATGGGGTGATGGGGGTGGCAGAAGGGAGGTTAACACATGTGTCCTGCATATACACACCACACCACACAAGTAGCAGCAGCAGCATCAGCATAAGCAGCACGCAGTGATGTGGTGGAGGGAGGTTATCAAACAGGTGCTGCTACTTGTGTGATGAGGTGGAGGGAGGTGGTGGAGGGAGGTGGTGGAGGGAGGTTATCAAACCGGTACCTCCAACTTGCTTGAGGCAAGTAATCGAGCAAGAAGAGAGGAGCGTGGCTACATCACGCCTGCTACAGCCCATTTCAGCCGTTCAGCACCGCACAACATCGCACACCATCTCTGTGTCCCACTCACCTGCCCTGCCTGGTACACCTCCGGCTTGCTGGAATCGAAGTAGTCAAGGAAGATGAGAGGAGTCAGGCTACCTCACTTCTGCTACAAATCCTCCACACCTTACAACACCACACAGAACCAAGCAGCACCACTGTGAATCGCACCTGCTTGGCCTGGTCCACCTCCAGCTTGTGGAAGTAAAAAGTAGTCCAGGAAGAAGAGAGGGCGAGAGTGGCCACCTCACGCTTGCTACAACCCTTTCGAACCCTTCAGCACCGCACAGCACTGGAAAGAACCACACAGAACCATGCAGCACCACTCTGCACCGCCCCTGCTCGGCCTGGTCGACCTCCAGCTTGCTGGAAGCGAAGTAATCGAGGAAGAAGGGCCGAGTCAGGCTACCACACGCCTGCTACAATTCCTCTACACCCTTCAGCACCGCACAGAACCACACAGCTCCACACAGCACCACTCTGCATCGCACGCACCTGCTCGGCCTGGTCGACCTCGAGCTTGCTGGAGGCAAAGTAGTCGAGGAAGAAGAGCGGGCGAGCGCCTGACGTGATGATGTCGTTGACACTCATCGCCACCTGGTTGGGTGGGGTGTGGTGTGGTGGGGTGGGGTGAGGTGGGATGAGCGGGAGCAGAGGAAGAGAGGGCGAGTGCCTGACGTGATGATGTCGTTGACACTCATTGCCACCTGGTTGGGTGGGGTGGGATGCGGTGGGGTGTGTGGAGCGGCGATTTGGGAGTAGCACCGGGCGTGATGTTGTCGTTGACGCTCATGCACGTCAAGGCGGTCAACGCAGTCAACGCCAGTCAACAGCAGTCAGCAGCAGCCACTCACCAGGTCGATGCCAATGGTGTCGTGCTTGTCCATCGCGAAGGCCAGCTTCAGCTTCGTGCCCACCCCGTCCGTACCCGCTACAAGGTAGTGGTCCCCTGAAACAGTGAAAAAGTAATCCGCATATATAAACTAGGCATATCGCCATTGCGATCAGATTCTAAACCAAAAACAAAAACGGCGAAAGGACCACAATGCAAGCGTTCTATCGGATATCGGATCTCACCAAACGGGTACAGCCCGCCGAATCCGCCGATGCCAGGTGTCATCTTGGCGATGCGCCGCACCAGCTCAGCACCCGCATCGATATCCACGCCCGCGTCCTTGTACGTCATCCCGCCCTGCGCCGCACTTCCCGCCGCATCTCCCGCCGCACCCTCCGCTCCCGCAGCAGCAGACGCGCGGATCGGGAGGCTTGCGCGCCGCGACGCCGCTGCTGATCGGGATGACGTCAGCAACAGGGGGGTGGGTTTCCATGCGGACGGAATGGTACGTCCCCCGCGCAGGCGCAAGTGCGCGGGTTCCGCGGAAACGCTCAGGCGCGCGGAGGCCGGGGCAGCGGCGGAAAGGCCTAACGCGGACATACTGGCGGACGGATATGCGCGGGGCGGCGGGGAGAAACTAAGGCCCGCGGGTGGGTACTGTGGGTATACCAATGTGCCACGCTACAAGGTGTTCAGAACACGCAGGACTTTTTAACGCCGATCCCGGAATGCAGGCTCCCAGCTTCCACGAGCTCCGACAGAAACGTAAACTAAGAGTCGGGGTAGAAAGAATTAGGTGACTATGTCGAGAGCTGGCTGTGCGAGTCTGCACTGCACCAGTTCCACCCAGATCAGTTTTCCGCCGTTCCAATGGTGCACGGAAAGCCAGGGGAAGATTTGGGGTTTTTGTCTTCGTTTGAGAGTAATTTCAGCCGAGCAGGCATTCATTCAGTGCGGAATGCTAATATTGGTTGTAGGAGATGCAATAAAACGGAGTTAGAATTTCGTGAAAAATACGAATAACGAATATGAATCAAATGATTAACTTTTTAATATCAAACTGAATGATGAGGGAAACTGGAGAGGAAGTGTGTGCTCAATACATCACAGATCGATTTAGAATATGTTTATAGACCTAGCATCTTTACAGTGTAGATATTCCCATGCTAGCTTGTTATGTTGAGTTGGTCGGTCACTGCAATCCAGCGCACCTACGATGAAACCATCTGCGATGGACAACAGTCGCCTGAGCGTCGCCTCCCCCTGGTTCCTGCACCAGAAAGCATTTGAACGACGTCGTTCACACAGCACATCGTCGGCTCAAGCCGCGAGGTAATAAAACGCTCGAATTGTGTCGGCTATATTGTCGCATGCGTCGCGGCCAAACTGGGAGACAGTTGATAGGAAGCATATAAGCGTCGCAAGTGCGACCCTCTTTCATCGCCAATTCCAGTTCAACTCTCTTCGATTCCAACATCCTCTACGCTTCTGCGACGATTCAACCAGTCTTCAGCGACCGAACGAAGCTTTTTGTGCTATGGCCATCCCGATCTTTCGCTCAACCCTGATCTTCGTCGTTCTCGCTGGATGTGCGATTTTCGCCTCTGCTGTGTCGCCCATGCCTCTCTCGCCGTTTGACGAAGCCGTTCAGAAGCTGAACAACTCGGGTTACACCAGCTTCGTCTCCCTCGTCAACGCTTATGGTTGGGCCCTCTCACCTCCATTTTCGATTTCACCGTTTTTCTGAAAACCTTCTCAACTGCATGTCCTCTTTCTCCCTCATTTCGTAATCTGCGCTACGCAGCTAATTTCGCGCATTTTCCGAGCTATTCATATCCCCTAATATGTTCCGTTCCCTTCCGGCCGTTCCTTCCCCATCGCAGGCAAGATGAAGCAGGTCAAGGCGGCCCTTTCCAAGCCCCTCACCATGCTCGTCCCCAGCAACGCGGCCATCGCCAAGGTCAAGATAACGAGTTACTCAACAGCGCAGCTCTCGACGCTCGTCATGTTCAACGCCATCAAAGGCGTTATGCCCTTCCAGAAGCTGCGAAGCCTCGCGAAAAACTCTACGCTCGCGACGCTCTCCACGGACCTCAAGTCCAAGAAGTCGCTGATACTGACGAAGCTCTCCCCGCTCAATGCGCGTTGGGTGGCGATGCAGGGCAAGCCCGGGAGCAAGCTGATGATCACTAAGGGCGACTTTTACCTAAAAGTTGGGAAGCTGGCCGTGCACACGACTGATGCGATAGTGTTCCCCGCTGGAATGAAGTGACGCGACCGTGGAAAAAGCGGGTCATATGGTGGTTAGTTATTATTTGGGCATTTCTGGATCAGGGTGCTGAAGCAATCGGCGCAAATAATGGGTTAGTGTCCATTTGGATGAGGCAGGAATGGGTACTATTACTCACCAGTGATTGGGGAATAGCGTTATTCCGTGATATTATGCATTTGGACAGTTGAGTTCCTACATAGATATGTTTGTTACTTTTTACGTATGTGCGCTTGAACAGTTGTGTTCTTTGGGTACAGTATTTTGAGAGTCCAATATCATGGAGCCGAGGTTTGCACTATCGATACTCAGGGAGATTTGTTGGGTGGTGCAAGCCTCCCTTCGAGGTTCGTTTTGCTGGTCAGGTTTGAGGCGAAGGCCTGGGCCGGAAGCTAGGAGGTAAATTTTGAAAAGCGGAGGTTCGGGTGAACAGTATTGTACGCGAGGCTTGAGTGTCGCGAAGTAAGAATGTGTAAAACGTTTTATGTCCTCCGTGTCGTACACCATTTCGTCGTCGCTGCGGTCTATTCTGTTATGCATGCGAACTTCCTGTCGCCGTTCCATACGGCGTCGCTGGATGCATTGACGTAGCACTTTTAGTCATTTTTCGCAGAGTTATGAGGCACTAGCGCACTTGTGCACTGAAAATCGTTAGACTCACTTGCTGTTACCGCCTCATACGCTAAAGACGTGAACAAGACGTGCGGTTCGTGCATCTTAGTAAGTCGTATTCAGCCGGCGACGCTTGCACATTGGCGACTCTGTGCGACAGGCGGATTCTATCGCTCAAGTCGCCATGCGACTGGTGAAGCCGTCGTGGGTGTCGCACGGTGGTCAGGCGATTTTCGCCATCCACGTGCATCCAGATGGGACAAGATTCGCGACTGGCGGGGGTGACCACAAGGTGAGCGCGTGGGAGAATACGAGGGTTACAGAGAGGTGGAAGGGGGTTACAGGGAAAGGAGGGGGGTGCAGAGAGTGGCCATTACCAGGAGGGGCTCAGGAAAAGGACAAGATTCGCCACTGGCGAGGGTGACCACAAGGTGAGCGAGAGGGTATACGAGGGTTACAGAGAGGTGGAGGGAGGTACAGGGAGGGAGCGGGGATAGAGGAGGGTACATAGAGAGGAAAAAAGGGGAGTACAAGGAGGGGGAGGGGGGTACCTGATTTGAGAGAGGGGGGGTACAGGTAGGGAGGGAGCGGGGATAAAGGAGGGTACATGGAGAAAAAAAAAAAGGGGGGGGGGGGGGGGGGGGGGGGGGGGGGGGGGGGGAAGGAGGGGGAAGGGGGGTAACTGATTTGAGAGAGGGGGGGTACAGGTAGGGCACAGGAACACGTGTTTGAAGAAGTGTTTTGAGACGTCTCAAAACACTTCTTCAAACACGTACAGGTAGGGCACGGCACAGGAATGGAACAAGATTCACCACTCTCCCATATCGATACCCTCTTGCTTTCTCATCCCTCTCCCCTTCCCTTCACCCTCACAGGCCGTCATCTGGACTTTCCCTCAACTGCTCTCCCCTGAGGCCGAGTCCGATCCCTCTCTTGCCTTGGTACCCCTATCCTCCCCCTCCCAATCCCTTCACAGGCCGTCATCTGGACTTTCCCTCCACTGCTCCCCCCTGAGGTTGAGTCCGATCCCTCGCTTGCCTTGGTGCCCCTATCCTCCCCCTCCCAATCCCTTGACAGGCCGTCATCTGGACTTTCCCTCCACTGCTCCCCCCTGAGGTTGAGTCCGATCCCTCGCTTGCCTTGGTGCCCCTATCCTCCCCCCCCCCCTCCCTCCACAGGCCGTCATCTGGAGCCTCGCTCCTTTGCTCTCTCCTGAGGCCGAGTCCGATGCTGCACTGCCGTCTCGCCTCGCCACTCTGTGCGACCATTTTGGGGCGGTCAGCTCTGTCAGGTGGGTTAGGTGTGGGAAGGAGTGGGAAGGAGTGGGAAGGAGTGGGAAGGAGTGGGAAGGAGTGGGGAAGAGGGCAAAGGGGAGGAAATTAGTGAGGAAGAAAGACTCTGCCTTCCCGCCTCGCCACTCTCTGCGACCATTTCGGGGCGGTCAGCTCTGTCAGGTGGGCTGGGAGTGGGAAGGAGTGGGAAGGAGTGAAAAGGTGTGGTGTAGGCGAAGGGTTAGGAAGAAAGGTGCACGAGAGTGGGCTGTCCTCCCACCTCGCCACTCTGTGCGACCATTTCGGGGCGGTCAGCTCTGTCAGGTGGGCTGAGAGTGGGAGGGAGGGAGTGGGAGGGAGTGAAAAGGTGTAATTTAGGCGAAGGGTTAGGAAGAAAGGTAAATAGGAGTGTGCTGCCCTCCCGCCTCGCCACTCTGTGGGACCATTTCGGGGCGGTCAGCTCTGTCAGGCGGGCTGAGAGTGGGAGGGAGGGAGTGGGAGGGAGTGAAAAGGTGTAATGTAGGCGAAGGGTAAGGAAGAAAGGTAAATAGGAGTGTGCTGCCCTCCCGCCTCGCCACTCTCTGCGACCATTTCGGGGCGGTCAGCTCTGTCAGGTGGGCGGGGAGTGCGAAGGGAGGGGAAGGGAGTTGGAGGGGGTTGGTGGGAGTAAGAGTGGAGAGTTAGGGTGGGCTATCGCCTTCCCGCCTCGCCACTCTCTGCGACCATTTCGGGGCGGTCAGTTCTGTCAGGTGGGCTGAGAGTGCGAAGGGAGGGGAAGGGCAGGAAGATAGCCAGAATTTTCTGCACTTCCTTCCCGCCTCGCCACTCTGTGCGACCATTTTGGGGCTGTCAGCTCTGTCAGGTAGGTTATGAGGTGGAATGTCAGGTGTTTCAACAGAGAATCAAGTGGGTTGTGAGGTGGGAGTGTCAGGTGATTTCAACAGAGACGCAAGTGGGTTAGTTAGGAGGACTGACGGGTTGTTTCAACAGAGTCTCAGGTGGGTTAGGAGGAGAGGAGTGCAGGGATCGAATTCCGAGTGGGTGGGATAGGGGAAAGGGGAAGAAGGATGAAGGAGGGATACTAGGCTGCATTGCTTGCTTCCTGACTCCCCCCATCCAGTCTTTGCACAACGGGATGCGCTTAGTAGCAGCAGCGGCAGGGCTTTTGAGGCGCCTCAAAAGTGCATTGCTTGCTTCCTGACTTTCCCCGTCCAGTGGTTTAGCAACAGCACTTAACGGGCTTTGCTCAACGGGCTGCTATTAGCAACAGCAGCGGCAGGGCTTTTGAGGTGGTCCCGGAAATGAAACCGCATTGCTTGCTTCCTGACTTTCCCCGTCCAGTGGTTGCCCAACAGGCTGCGCTTAGCAACAGCGCTGGCAGGGGAGGGGAGGGGGAGCGTGGTTTGCACCGGTATAATTCCCGCCTTCCTTGCTAGCTAGCTAGCTCCATATCTGCAACCTCCCTCCCACAGGTGGTCGCACAGTGGGCTGTATTTGCCAACAGCAGCGGACGACCAGACGGTGCATGTGCACGGCAGGAGGAAGGGGCGGGGGAGCGTGGTGTTTGTGGGGATGGAGGGGATGGGATGGGAGCTCATCATATCTTCCCCTTGCCCCGTGTGTGAAAACCCCCTCTCAGGTGGTCCCATAATGGACTGCATCTGGCAACAGCAGCGGACGACCAGACAGTGCATGTGCACGGCAGGAGAGAGCGGTGGAGATGGGGAGGGGGGATGGGAATTGGGTTAGGAGAATGTGTTCTGTTCCGAAGTCACCTCACTCTCGCCTTGCTACATGTTGCTCCCCTCCCCTCTCAGGTGGTCGCATAACGGATTGCATCTGGCAAAAGCAGCGGATGATCAGACAGTGCATGTGTACGGCATGAGGGAGGGGCGGGGAAGGGATGCAGGGAGGTTGTGTGTGGTGTTAGTGCTCCGACTCATATCCCTCTCGCCTTGCTTCCATTCTCCCTCACTCCAGGTGGTCGCATAACGGATTGCATTTGGCAACCGCAGCAGATGACCAGACGGTGCATGTGTACGGCAGGAGGGAGGGGCGGGGGAGCGTGGTGTTTGGGGAGATGGACGCTCCTAATGTGGAGAATTGGACTCTCATGCACTCTTTGAGAGGCCACACGGGGGAAGTGGTGAGTCCCTTTGCTAGCCCTGCTGCTGCCCTATCATACATTTGTGAGAATGAAGAGGTGAACTGGGGACGGCAGGCGGGAGGGGTGGGGGAGCGTGATGTTCGGGGAGATGGATGCACTGAATGTGGAGAACTGGACTCTCGTGCACTCGCTGCGAGGCCACACGGGGGAAGTGTTGAGTCCCTTTGCTAACCCTGCTGCTGCCCTTGCAAGTGCCAGCCATTTGTAAGGTACAAGGGAGAGCGTGGTGTTTGGGGAGATGGGCGCTCCTAAAGTGGAAAACTGGACGCTCATGCACTCCCTGAGGGGACACACGGGGGAAGTGGTGGGTTCCTTCCCTCTTCCTCACACTCTCTCTTCGTCACACTCGCACACGCACTCCTGAATGCTGTGCAAGTGCCGGTCGTCTTGCACACGCACTCCCTTTTAGGGTGTTTGGGGAGATGGGCGCTCCTAACGTGGACACTCACTCACTCGCTGCGAGGCCACACAGGGGAAGTGGTGAGGTGAGCCCCTTCCCTCTGTTTCTCGCACCCTCACACATGTAAGTGTGAGAGGCCATTTTCAAGTGAGCCCCTTACATGTGCTCTTGTGTGCAAGTGGCGATGGTGGTGCATCTCCCCTCTCGGGTGTTTGGGGAGATGGACGCCCTGCCCCTAACGTGGAGGACAACTGGACGCTCATGCACTCGCTGTGAGGCCACACGGGGGAAGTGGTGAGCCATGCCTCTCTTACACACTCTCTCTTCCTTGCACACTCACCACTCCCTTATGCTTGAGTGCAAGTGCTGTGCTGGCCTTAACTCTTCCCGCTCTGTTGTTTGGGGAGATGCACGCCCCCAACGTGGAGAACTGGGCACTCATGCACTCGTTGCGAGGGCACACGGGGGAAGTGGTGAGCTCCCTTTTTCTTACTCTCCACCTACACTCACACAACACAAGCCCCTATGCGGAGGGCAACCGATGCTGGCCTTGATTCTCCCCTCTATGGTGTTTGGGGAGATGGACGCCCCCAACGTGGAGAACTGGGCACTCATGCACTCGTTGCGAGGGCACACGGGGGAAGTGGTAATTTCTTTCTCTCCTCCACCCACACACTCAAGCACTCTCAAACCCTTATGCTGAGTGCGACCGACGGCAATCTTGGCTTTCTCTCCTCTGGTGTTTGGGAGAACTGGAGTCTCATGCATTCTCTGGGAGGCCACAAAGGGGAAGTGGTGAGCCTTAGCTTTCTCCCTCTTACTCTCTCGCACGCACACACACACGGGGGAAATTGTGTGCTCTCCCTCTCTCTGACACACATTATCTCACACTCACGCTCAAATCGCTCCTACCGTATTCCCCCCTTTCGCCCCCATTTGGCTGTTGCCTAACAGAACCCCTCTCCATCTATCACCTCCTCGACTTTTGAGTTGACTCAAAAGTAAGCTTTTGAGTCGACTAAAAAAATTCCCCCCTTCTCGCCCCCATTTGGCTGTTGCCTAACAGAAGCTCTCTATCCATCCCATCCTCGACTCTTGAGTTGACTCATTATCCCTCTCTCTACTATCTCCCCCACCCTCCCTCTCTGGTAGGTTGATGTGGATTGGTCGCCTGACGACTCGCTAATCGCCACCTGTAGCACAGTGCGCATCAGAGGTGACCTTTGAGTCGACTCAAAAGTCATTACTTGAACAGCAGAAGAACCAGTCATTCGAGTAAACTGTCCCCCGGCCCTCCAAATTCTCCCTTGTAGGTCGATGTGGATTGGTCGCCTGACCACTCACTAGTCGCCACCTGTAGCCTCAGCCTATTAGTTGAACAGCAGAGGCATCATGTTCCTCGGTCCCTCGAGTAAACTGTCCCCCGTCCCTCCCCTCGACAGCAGAACCATGTTCCTTCCCTCCCATTCCACCTCCCCCAGGTGGATGTGGACTGGTCGCCTGATGACTCATAAATCGCCACCTGTAGCCACCTTTCGCCACCTCACTCTACCGCACTAAACCTCTCTCCATGTCTCTTCCCTCGTCATCTCTTCCTCCCCCAGGTCGATGTGGATTGGTCGCCTGATGACTCATTAGTCGCCACCTGTAGCCTCGACAGCACGGTGCGGATCTGGCAGCCAATGACGGGCCGCCAGGTGGCGCTGCTGACGGGGCACAGCAGCTTTGGCAGCAGGGGCACAATTTGAAGTCAATTAAAATCCAAAGAAACACCCGTGGTCTCTCTCCCTCAACCGATCCCAACTCCAGGTTGATGTTGATTGGTCTCCGGATGACTCATTAATCGCCACCTGTAGCCTCGACAGCACGGTGCGGATCTGGCAGCCAATGACGGGGCGCCAGGTGGCGGTGCTGACGGGGCACAGCAGCTTCGTGAAGGGCGTCGCGTGGGACCCCATTGGCCGGTTCCTCGGCAGCCAATCAGACGACAAGAGCGTGATCGTGTGGCGGGTGAATGATTGGTCGGTGGCGAAGCGTGTGGAGGGACCCTACCCCAAGTCGGTGAGTCATGGGTGGGGTGGTTTGGGATTTATTCAGTACGCGTGGTCAACAAGTGAGGGACATTGTTTGGGCAACACCTTTCACTTCTCTGGTGATAAAAGTAGAGTTTCGAGACGTCTCAAAACTCTACTTTTATCATGTGACTCATCATGGTTGAGGTGGTTTGGGATTTATTCAGTACGCGTGAGGGGACATTGTTTGGGCAACACCTTTCACTTCCCTCTTGCTTACCACACCTCTCCCCTCCTCCCGTTCTCTTCTCCCCCCAAAATCCCCCTGACAGGTCGGAGCGACTTTCTTCCGCCGCCTCTCCTTCTCCCCATGCGGCTTCTACCTCACTACACTCCATGCATTTGCCGTCTTGGTCCACCCACGGAGTCACAGACACCTCCTTCACCCTCACTCCCACCCTCCCTTGCTCCCCCCCACGTCAGGTCGGAGCGACTTTCTTCCGCCGCCTCTCCTTCTCCCCCTGCGGCTCCTACCTCACTACAGTCCACGCCTTTGCCGACCCAAACCACACTGCGGCGATCCTAGACCGCACGCTCGGGTGGGCCAAGACTCTGGACTACGTCGGGCATACCGGACCTGTCACTGTGGCTCGGTACAGCCCCGTGCTTTACCGAACCTCACTGGGGGAGGGGAGGCCTGGGAGGGGTGGTTCGGAGGGTGACGGAGGGAGGCTAGAAGGTTCTAAAAGTGAAAAAGAGGAGGAGGAGGAAAATTCAAAGGAGGAAATGAGGGAAAAAGAGAAGTTTGAGAAGGGGAAGGAAGAAACTGGGGAAGGGGCTACTGGTGGTGCTGCTGCTTCTGCTGGTGTAGCTGATGCTCCTGCTGCTGGCGCTGTTGTTGCTGTTGCTGCAGCTACTGCTGGTGATATTGCTGCACCTGGTGCTGATGCTACTGCTACTGCTTCTGCTGCTCGCCCTCCTCCTGCTGCTGCTGCTCCTGCTGTTGGTCCGGCTACTGCGGCAGCTGCTGCTTCTGCTGATGATGATGATGATGGTGCTGCTGCTACTGCTGCTGATGGCGCTGCTGCTACTGCTGCTGCTACCCCTGCTACCCCTCTTACTGGTGGTTCTGCTGCTGTGAACGACAATGACATTGGCAAACGCGGACTTGCAGCAGTGTCTGCTCTCTATCTTGTCAAAGAGAAGGCTTCTGAGCCGAATCAGAAGGAGAAGGCTCTTGAGGCGACTTTTGAGGCATCTCAAATCACAGATCAGGCGACTTTTGAGTCGACTCAGAAAGACAATGAATGCGGCAAACCGGGGCTTGCAGCAGTCTCAGCTCTCTATCTGGTCACAGAGAAAGGGAAGGGGGGGGGAGGAGAGGGTATGGGAGGAGGAGGAAAGGAAGGGAGTGGAGTATCGGGCTGGAAAGGCGAGGAGGGGAGGGAAGCTGGTGAAGGGACGAAGGGAGACGAGGCGAGAGAGAGGGAGAGAGTGTGGGAGCAGGAGGTCAAGGAGAGGGAGCAGGAGAAGGAGAGAGTGAGGGTGGAGGAGGAGAGGAAGAGAGAGAGGGAGAGGGAGAGAGTGAGGGAGGAGGCGATGGGAATGATGAGGAGTGGGCCGTACGGGTGGATAGCACTGGGCGGCATGGATCGGAAGGTTACGCTTTGGCCCACGTACCGCCCTTCACCACTCTTCACCGCAAAGAATCTCTTCAAACAGCCTGTTTTGGATACTGCATGGTATAATGTGGTGTGGGATGGTATGGTATAGTATGGCGTGGTAGATATGCTATGCAATGGTATGTTATGGTGTGGTGTGGTGTGTGGTGTGGTGTGGTATGGTATGGTATGGTATGGTATGGTATGGTATGGTATGGTATGGTATGGTATGGTATGGTATGGTATGGTATGGTATGGTATGGTATGGTATGGTATGCACATGCTCTGTTTGAGATCTTCGTTCTCGTCACCTTTCTCTCGTTTTCCTCTCTCCCCGGTTCCCTCTCTCCCCAGTTCCCTCTCCCCATGAAGGTCCCCATGTGGCCTTCACATGCTCTGCTGCTGCTCCAGGCCTCCTGAAAACAATCACCCCTTCATGTTCACCACCCACCCCTCTCCACCCCTTTCTCTTCCCCCCATGTAGGTCCCCATGCGGCCTTCACATGCTCTGCTGCTCTGCAGACGGCACTGTAGCAGCCTTCCTCTTCGACCAATCAGAGCTCGGCATCCCTCTGACGCACCGCGAGATGGATGGCCGGATCGCCAGCCTGTACGGCCACCGCCACGTGGCGGCATCCCATTCGCTCGTGGAGGACCCGGAACTGCTGGCGCTCCAGCAACAGGTAGAGAGAGAAGAGGCCGCCGCCGCCGCTGCTGCTGCTGCTGCTGCCGCCACGACTGCTGCAGCTGCTGCAGTGTTTGGGAATCCAAAAGTAAGAGGAGGTGGGTTAGCTGTTGGTGCTGTTGGTGCTGCTGCTGTGGAGATGAGTTCTGAAAGTGTGAGAAGACAGCAGGTGGTGGTGAGGAGGAAGGATGGACGGAAACGAATCACTCCTGTCGCGATCACTTCTGTTGTGACTGAACCACCTGTGCTTCCAAATAATGCAGCCAACACTCCTGTAATAGCAGCAGCTCCTGCTGTAGCAGCAGCAGCAGCAGCAGTGACTGAAGTGGCAGCAGTAGCAACAGCAGCAGCACCACCACCACCAACACCACCAGCGCCAGCAGCTGCACCAGGAACAGCAGCAGCACCAGCGACAGCAGCAGCTGTGGCAATGGTAACAGCAGCGACAGGGGTGGCAGCAGCACCAGCGAATGCAGCAGCAAAAACACCACCACCAGCAACAGAATCGGTAGTACCAACAGCAGCAGCTGCTCCAGCAGCAGTATCAGTAGTGTTAAAAGCAAAAGCAACAGCACCAGCAGCAACAGCACCAGCAGCAACAGCACCAGCACCAGCCACAGCAGCAGCAGCAGCACCCGTACCAGCCACAACAACAGCAGCAGTGGCTGTAGCAAGGAAGGATACTGGTCTACAGCAGCAGCAACAGATCGGTAACCAGCGAATCGGTAACCAGCAGGTTGGTAACCAGCAGGTTGGTAACCAGCAGATTGGTAACCAGCAGATTGGTAACCAGCAAGAGAGAGAGACCAAGAGGCAAAAGCTGGGGCAGAGGCTTGGAGTGGAAGGAGCAGATGGGGGAGGGTTCAACGTGGGTTGGAGGCTGGGAGATGGGATAGGCTCGGAAAGAAATGGTTCGGATAGGCTTGGGTTGGGAGGAAGGGAGGAAGAAGCTTCCAGGTTGGCGAGAGAGGGACGGGCCTCAGGATTGGTGGTTAGAGTGGAAGTGAGGGGAGGGTATGGGGTAGGAGGGGATGGTTGGGGAAGAGGGGAGGGTGGTGGGAGAGGGGAGAGAGGAAGAGGGGGAGAGGGAGGGAGAGAGGGGGAAGGAGAAGAGAAGGTGGAGAGGGTGGTGTATGGGAGTGTGATTGCTGATGCCATGGCCTTGCAAAGAGCAGCTGCTGCTGGTGGGGGTGGCGGTGCTGCTGCCGCTGGTGCTGGCGAGCGGCTGTGGAATGGTGGGAGGAGGGTGGTTCTGGAAGCAAGAATGCAAGCAGACACAGGTGAGAGGGTGGTGGATAGGAGAAGGGAAGGGGGGGAGGGTGGTGGATAGGAGAAGGGAAGGGGGAGAGGGTAGCGTATGGGAGTGTGATTGCTGATGCTATGGCCATGCAAAGGGCTGCTTCTGCTGGTGCTGGCGGTTCTGCTGCCGCTGGTGCTGGCGAGCGGCTGTGGAATGGTGGCAGCAGGGTGGTTCTGGAAGCAAGAATGCGAGCAGACACAGGTGAGAGGGTGGTGGATAGGAGAAGGGAAGGTGGAGAGGGTGGTGGATAGGAGAAGGGAAGGGGGAGAGGGTAGTGTATGCGAGTGTGGTTGTTGATGCCATGGCCGTGTTGGTTTGACGTTTGAGAAATTTCAAGAGTCAAACCAGCAAGCAGACACAGGTGAGAGGATGGTGTATGCGAGTGTGGTTGCTCATGCCATGGCCTTACAGAGAGCTGCTGCTGCTACTGCTGGTGAGAGGGTGGCGTATGGGAGAAGGGAAGGTGGAGAGGGTGGCGTATGGGAGAAGGGAAGGTGGAGAGGGTGGCGTATGGGAGAAGGGAAGGGGGAAAGGGTGGCGTATGGGAGTGTGGTAGCTGATGCCATGGCCTTACAGAGAGCTGCTGCTGCTACCCATCTCTTCTCTTCCTTGCTTCACATCCCTCCCCATCCAGATGCCTCTCCCTCTGACCTTCTCTGTTCGCTCAACGGCCATGTACTGTGGCGGGACCGCCTCCCTTCCCCCGTCACTGCCATTGCCGGCTGTCCAGTACCCATCTCACCTTTCCTGCCTTTGCCCCTCCTTCCCTTCCCATCCCTCTCTTCCCCATCCAGACACTACCCCATCTGACCTGCTCTGTTCGCTCAACGGCCACGTGCTGTGGCGGGACCGACTCCCTTCCCCCGTCACTGCCATTGCTGGTTGCCCCACCCTCTTTCTGCCCTTTCGTCCCCCCCTTTTGCTCACCAACCAGACGCCTCTCACTCTGACCTGCTCTGTTCCCTCAACGGCCATGTGCTGTGGCGGGACCGACTGCTTTATCCTGTCACTGCCATTCCCAACTGTCCTGCCCACCCCTCCCTCCCTGCCTCTTCCCCATCCAGACACTACCCCATCTGACCTGCTCTGTTCGCTCAACGGCCATGTACTGTGGCGGGACCGCCTGCCTTCCCCCGTCACTGCCATTGCCGGCTGTGACCCCGCTGTTTCCGCCCATCCCTCAACCCTCTCACCCTCTCCCGGAGCCTCTCTCTGGGCCGTGGCCTGTGCGAATCACTCTCTGCTGGTGAGACTTCTTCTCCTAGCTCAGCCTTCGCCTGTTACTGCCATTGCCGGCTGTCCCCCTTCTTCTGCTGCCTCCCATCCTTCAACCCTCTCACCCTCTCCCGGAGCCTCTCTCTGGGCCATGGCCTGTGCTAATCACTCTCTGCTGGTAAGGCTCCCTCTCCTTCCTGGTGAGACTCCCTCTCAGACTGTCCCCCTTCCGCCCCACTGCTGCCTCCTCCCTTCCCTCTACCCTCTCATCCTCCTCGCCCGGAGCTTCTCTCTGGGCCGTGGCCTGTGCGAATCACTCTCTGCTGGTGAGACTGCTTCTCCTAGCTCAGCCTTTGCCTGTTACTGCCATTGCCGGCTGTCCCCCTTCTTCTGCTGCCTCCCATCCTTCAACCCTCTCACCCTCTCCCGGAGCCTCTCTCTGGGCCGTGGCCTGTGCTAATCACTCTCTGCTGGTAAGGCTCCCTCTCCTTCCTGGTAAGGCTCCCTCTCCTTCCTGGTAAGGCTCCCTCTCCTTCCTGGTAAGGCTCCCTCTCCTTCCTGGTAAGGCTCCCTCTCCTTCCTGGTGAGACTCCCTCTCCTTCCTGGTAAGGCTCCCTCTCCTTCCTGGTGAGACTCCCTCTCCTTCCTGGTGAGTCTCCCTCTCAGACTGCCCCCCTTCCGCCCCACTGCTGCCTCCTCCCTTCCCTCTACCCTCTCATCCTCCTCTCCCGGAGCCTCCCTCTGGGCCATGGCCTGTGCTAATCACTCTCTTCTGGTGAGTCTCCATTCCACAATCTGTCTCTATGTAAGTCTTACCTCTGTATCCCTCCCCCGTCACTGCCATTGCATTCAGGTCGTTTTTGAGGGGCCTCAAAAACGATCTCTATATCCCTTCCCCCGTCACTGCCATTGCGCCCTGTCCCCCTTCCACTGCCTCCCCCGTCACTGCCATTACCGGATCCGGCCCCACTGGTTATGTTGTTGGGGCATAGCTTGACTTTCATAGCGTTCCTTCCGTACCCTTTTCTACCGTTCCTCACCCCTCCCTATCGTTCCTGACCCCTCCCTATCGTTCCTGACCCCTCCCCACTGTTCCTCATCCCTTTTCACCGTTCCCAACACAGATCCTCTCTTCTGCCGGCCGACGCCTGCTTCCCGAAATCCTCCTCGATTCCCCCGCCGTCCTTCTCTCCTGGTTTGCTGCTGAACCTCAACCCTGTCATCCTTCTTCACCCCATCCAATTGTTCCTCACCCTTTTCAACCGTTCTGCACCCCTCCCCAACGCTCCCAAGACAGATATTCTCTTCTGCCGGCCGACGCCTGCTTCCTGAAATCCTCCTCGATTCCCCCGCCGTCCTTCTCTCCTGGTCCGCCGCCGAACCTGAACATCCATCTCGATTCGGCACCGAACCTCCGTCTTGGTCCGGCGCCGAGCCTCCGTCTTGGTCCGGCGCCGAGCCTAAGAACCAGGCCTGGTTCGGAGTATCTAGAAACCAACGGCTTGTGTTTAAGAGTCCACTGGAGCAGCTATGGGATCGGCAAGGGGAAGGGGGGATTGGGACGTGGGGAGGGCGAGAAGAGGAGGGGAGTGGGGAAGGAGGAGGGAGTGGGGGGCGGGGAGGGCGAGGGGAAGGGGGGATGGTGGGGCCGATGCTGCTGGTGGTGACGAGGGGAGGGGGAGTGCGCGTGTGGGATATGGGACGGCTGCAGCTGCTAGTGGATGCTGATATGGGCGCGTTGCGCTCTGAGGCAACAGAAGGTGAGGGGTCATTTGCCATGCCACCAGAGGGAGTGCACGTGTGGGATATGGGGCGGCTACAGCTGCTAGTGGATGCTGAGCTGATATGGGCGCACTGGGAGCAGAGGCAGCAGAAGGTGAGAAGGGTTGCTTGCTTGCCCTTAGCATCAATTGCCATGCCATTGGGGGAGTGTGCGTGTGGAGTATGGGGAGGCTGCAACAGCTGGTGGATGGTGATATGGGTGCACTGGGCTCTGAGGCAACAGCAGGTGAGCGAGAGAGGGTGGTTTATGCACCTCTGTTCACACCCCTATCCTTCCCTTTCCCCCTTTCCTGTCAGGCACGCTCTGCATGGCATAAGCTCGCCTCCTCCCTCCATGCACTCCCCTCATCACCCTACTCTCTGGAAGGTCCTTCCTCCTCCACCCCTAACTGCACGCCTGGATGCCCCTCTCTCCCACCTTTCTGTACCTCCTTCTTTGATTCATGCAGACTTTGCCTTCTCCTTACCGTTTATCCCCTCCAGGCACACTACGCATGGCATCAGCTCGTCTCCTCCCCCCATGCACCCCTGTGGTAACCCTTCTCTCCGGAAGGTCCTTCCTTCCTCCTCCACCCCTCCCTGCACGCCTGGTTGCCCCAATCAATCAATCTCCCTACCGACTTCCCTTTTAACCCTTTCCTGCCAGGCACGCTGCGCATGGCATCACCTCGCCTCCTCCCCCCGTGCACCCCTCTCATCACCCTACTCTCTGGAAACTCCTTCCTCCTCCACCCCTCACTGCACGCCTGGATTCCCCTCCCTCCCCTTCCTCTACCTCCTTCCTTGATTCATACAGCCTTTTGCCTCCCCATCCCCCCTGACTTTTGAGTCGACTCAAAAGTGACTTTTGCCTCCCCATCCCCCCTGACTTTTGAGTCGACTCAAAAGTGACTTTTGCCTCCCCATCACCCCTGACTTTTGAGTCGACTCAAAAGTGACTTTTGCCTCCCCATCCCCCCTGCATCCCACCAGGCACACTGCGCATAGCATCAGCGCGTCTCCTCCCTCCGTGCACCCCTGCGGTAACTTTTCTCTCCGGAAGGTCCTTCCTCCTCCACCCCTCCCTTCACGACTGGATGCCTCTCTCCTTCTCTCCCATTTCTCTGCCTCCTTCCTCAATTCCTGTGGACTTTGCCTCCCCTTTCCGCCCCCCGTTCCCCCTTATCTGCACCAGGCACACTACGCGTAGCCTCAGCGCGCCTCCTCCCCCCGTGCACCCCTCTCATCACCCTACTCTCTGGAAAGTCCTTCCTCCTCCACCCCTCCCTTCACGCCTGGATGCCTCTCTCTCGCCCTCACCCCTCCTCGCGCCTCTCGTCCAATTGGAGGCCGCCACCTGGCGCGTTTCGAGCTGGGAGCTTCCGAGGTGCCAGCAGGGATGGGGCTGCTGGTGGTGCTGGTGCTTCGTCTTTCCTTTCAAGGTAGTCTGGTGCTGGTGGTGCAAGTGGTGCTAGTGGTGCTGGTGCTGCTGTTGCTGCTGCTGGTGATGGTGATGCTGGTGTTGATGTGATGCTTCCCCCCCCCGTCTTTTTTTTTCTGTAATTTTTTTTTTCCTGTATCTTTTTTTCTCTCTCAGTGTTTTTCTTGTTCCCCTCTACAAGTTTCCAGATGTCTCAAAACCTCTTCATGTTTCCTTCCTCTGTCTGTCCCTCTCTGTCGTCCGCTCCACACTCGCTTCTATCTCCTTCTCTCTCCTCTCTATTCCACTTTCAAAATCAGGCAGGCACCTGGGGAAGAGGCGCATGCCACAAGAGCCCACCTGGAAAACGCCCTGGCGGCCTGCCGTCTGTTGAATTCACCTGACGAGTTCAGGAGGCTCCTGGCAGAATACGTGCGTCTGCTCACCAAGTGAGTGGCTGAACCCTTCAGATTTAACGGCGATATAGAGTGTACGCCAGTAGCTATATTTTTTAGGTGAGTACAAATTCCGCTCCTGGCGGAATACGTGCGTCTGCCCACCAAGTGAGCTGCTGAACCCTTCAGATTTCTAAGTGCAATTTATTGTGTATCGGAGTGGCTATAGCTGTCTTGGATCTTGCTGCCTTGGTTGGAACCTAAGATGGAATTGAAGCATCAATGGCGGCACCCACGCTTGTCAGGGAAAGTGACGAGGGCTGAATATGTTTGTTGAGAATTCTCAGGTGAGTTTTGAGTCCACTCAAAACTCGTCAGGGAAGGTGACGAGGGCTGCAAATGTTTTTTGAGAATTCTAAAAAAACAGATTAACTCCAAGGGCGATATATGTAGAGCAACTGCCTTGGGATCGGCTATATAGCTGTCTTGGCAGTCGATTCCTTGGTTGGAGCCTAAGATGGAATTGAAGCGTCAATGACTTTTGAGGCGCCTCAAAAGTCGATATATGTATAGCAACTGCCTTGGGATCGGCTATATAGCTGTCTTGGCAGTCGATTCCTTGGTTGGAACCTAAGATGGAATTGAAGCATCAATGGCGACACCCACGCTCACTTGTCAGGGAATGTGACGAGGGTCGGCTGAGGGGCATTTGCCAGTAGTTGGTACGCTTGTATCGAGGTTCGAGTGCTTGTATTGAGTGGGCTTGTACAAGGCAAACAAGTTTTGATCCCGCTCTCATCTGTTTTATTCTTTCCTTGCCAGGGAGGGTGATGAGGGCCGCCTGAGGAAAGTGTGCCAGAAGCTGGTGTGCTTGTATCGAGATTGCTTGTATAGAGGGTGCTTGTACAAAGCAGAATGGTTTTTCTCCCTCTCTCATCTGTTCCATTCTTTCCTTGCCAGGGAGGGTGACGAAGGTCGGCTGAGGGGAGGAGGTGTGCGTGTGCTTGTATCGAGAGTGCTTGTACAGAGTGGGTTTGTACAAATACGAATGGTTCATCTCCAACTCTCAACTGTTTATCTCCAACTCTCATCTGTTTCATTCTTTCATTGCCAGGGAGGGGGATGAGGGTCGGCTGAGGGAGGTGTGCCAGGAGCTGCTAGGGCCTATGGACGCTGGGGAACATGCGGTTACCACAGGCGCGGGCGTGGTTACCGATAACCACGCGGGCACGGTTATTCAGCGCAATGCTCAAGTTGATGAGGTGAGCGATTCGGGCACTTATGCATTACCTGCAGGTTTTTGTTGGGGCCAGCTTGGGGTTTAGGGGTTGTTGGCTAGTACATATGGGCTTGGTGATATTGAGTGTTGGTGAATGTACAGCACGCACTCATCATATGGGCATGTTATGTATTTTAGAGAGAAAAAAATCTAAATAATGTGTTGCTCTTGTGAAGAAGTATTTATTTAGTTTGTGCTGCACTTACCAGCGTTGGTCTTTCCTACTTCCTTGGCTTGCGTTAACAGGAGTTGAGAAGAAAGCGTGGCCTTCTACGAACTGTAGTATTCCCAGCCTTACTCTCGACAAAAAGGATGCAAAGGGTGCTGTTAGAGTACATGGATTTAGTGAAGGAAGCGGAGGCAGGATGAACCATGACAGATGGTGATGTACTACAAATGGATATTATATCTCAATAACTGGCTGGCGCATAGGAAAGCTTTGCAGAAGTTTACTTCCCAGCCGCAACAAACGGGGAAACCGTGCTCCTTGGTCACCGACCGACGACGGGCTAATTTCGTCACCTGTTTCGCAGATTCCAGCTCGCCGCACGATGGGACCTCGCTGAGCTCGCAGACGGCCGATGGTCGCAATCAATTTCGCCTGGCGACGTTTTCCAACCTCCGCCGTCAGGACAGTAGTCGTTACTCCCCCGACCGCTTGC